CCCCCCCCCCCAAAAAAAAAAAAAGGGGCTGCCCCTTTTCTCCAGGCCGCTCGAAAAGCGATCTAGCCCCCCGATCCGGGCGCTGGCGGCTCCGATCCTGTAATTGACATGCGGTGAGCTAAGAGGAAAAAACAACATGGTAATGAAGAAAATGCTATTCGAATGGCGGGTCATTGCGCTGTGAGCCTTCGCGGCGTCCACTTGCTTTGCTATGATGGCCCGCCACCGGGAGTTCAAATTTGAAACTCGAAGTTACTATAGCGCAAGCGCTGGAAATGACGAGATGTGTGTGTGTGTGTGTGTCTATTGGTTATGTATGTGCGCAGCAAATACCCGGCTCGGATGATCGGGAAGAACCCCCCCTTCTCCCCACAATGGAAAAAGCGCAAAAGAGGCGACTGCCAGAGAAACACAACGCGCCTCTGACTTCGAGGAAGCATAAACATCACCGACGGACTGAATCTTCGTCCTCATCAGAGCCTTCGAGCCCGACGCCGATACAGTCTGTGCAGCCACTTCTGCTTATACCGCAGGCGTCGCCGCAAACATATGTGCCTCCAAAGTGTCCCGTAGAGGCGCCGATTCAGCCGACGCTCGCTGCTCCGAAAACGCATCGGCAGCGTCGACGCCCGTCGCTGTGTAGACTTCTTGACTACATCATATTTGCGCTCATATCTCTGTTGTTTATTGTACAGTTTATTCTGCTTTACAAACGGCTCCAGCCAGCTCCGCGCTATAGTTTGCCTTAGTCAGCGTGCCCCGGCGAAGGTACGTCCTCCGACTTCGCTTCGGCCTTTTGTTTTGTCCTGTGTCTTCGTTGTCGCTCCGGGCATTGTTGTTTGTGCGCTGCGTTCCTTCAGTCCGCCCGACGGCGGCTTATACCCGAAATTCTATCAACGAAACGCCATCCGCCGACGATCGCTTCCGGTCGGTGTTTTTTCCTGCTCTGCGTCTGAAACAGTCATGCCCGTCTTGTTTTCCATTATAGGGGAATATTTTTTTCCACCCACTTTCATATTTCGTTTGCCCAGTGCGTTTATCTGTTTCGCCGGGCGTGGAGGGTGCAACATATCTGCCGCTGTTTATAGGGATTCTTATATATGGTCGTCTGCTATGTTTGATGCAGAACGTGCGTCGCAAGCGTGATG